CCCCCCACATACTGGTTCTTGCAGCTGAGTGTTCTCATTGTAATTTTGGAAGGAAGGAAGAGTTTCTGAACAGGGCAGTTCAAGACAGCCTTTCTGCAGGTTTTTTCCTTCACTCCATTCTCTTTCTCAAGCAATAGTTCCCAGAACTGTGTGCATTCTCCTAATACTTGTGGCTTTATTTCTCCTGATTTGGAGACAACCACTTAATTAGTTAATTCCATTTTTAGCTGTCTTCTGCTTTTCAAATGTGGGCTTTTAAGAGACTCTAACATGTGAAAAAGAGGGAACTGACTCTGAGCCCTGCTCCTTAAATGGGGCAGGCTATTTTGTTACGACCACCTAGCTGTTAAATAAATCATCTGTCTTTTTCTTCTTAACTGCTACATTCTTTTATTGACATTTTTTTTCTTTTTAAGAAGACTTAACATTATTTGTAAGTCAAAGAAGGTAAATATTTTGGACATATGCAAAATTTTATTTATAGAAATAGACATGGTTTAGATTTTATATAGCCTTTAAATAACCATTTAAAGCCATAGGCACTAGATACACAAAAATTCTATTTTTTTGTAAAGGTACAAACAGTATAGTTTAATCTTATGAAACAAATCTTTCTTCATAGGTACTATATAAAAAACTAGCACAGTATCAGAATGAGCTTGATGATATGAAGTTGAAAGCCCAGGATTCAAACACAGATGTTGTCAGGCTGAAGGGTGTACTGAAGTCTAAAGTGAGTATATGGATTAAACTTGTTAATAAAAGCTGTTGTTTTAACTAAAAATGAAATTTTAACCATATTTCCATGGAAGAATTTGCTTCCTAGCTGAAACTTATTTGCGTTCTACTAACATGTTTTTAATAGTTTGAACACATTTTCTTAGCTATTTTTGCAGTGCACAAGTAAGGAAGTATATTTCACTGTGTTTTTATATATATATGTGTGTGTGTGTGTTTATTAAACTTAAGAATTCAGACAGTGAATAATACAGAGACTTGGGACTCTTTTGTCTTTATTACCATATAGTTAAAAAAATATTTCTGCAATATATTGCTATACCTCATATTTGTAATGTTAATTTAGCCAGTTTTAACAGATGTCTTTTAAGAATTAAAATGCAGCCATCTTGAAGAAAACAGTGGTTCCTGAGAAGTCTCTCAATGTTTTGGCTAAATGGCAAAGTTGTCAATGGAAAGAAAATATCCAATACCATGTCATACCTGTAGATGTATAGATATCCCGATTTTGTGACACTTACTGTAAATTATTAAATAAACAAGCTTTATCTGTTAGGAGAGAGAGAACTGGGAGCTTTTGGAGAATTACCACAGAGCCCGTGAACAAGGAGAACGCTGGGAAGCAAAATGCCATCAAGCAGAAGCAGATTGTAGCTCTGTTAGACAGGCACTGATTAGTGCAGAGTCTGAGAACCGCAGGTTGAAAGAGAAAATGGAGTCCCTTGAAACAGAGGTTGAGCAAGTAAGTTGAAATTGTTCTTTCCATAGATCACCCTTGAAATGGGCTGGTAGTATTTTAAGCCTGCAGCTGTTTAAAGTTATGCTTAATGCCATTTCTCTAGAGAGAACTTGGTACAATGAACAGTATGGAGTTTGAGTTTATTTAATAACATGACTAGAATTCCGCTAGTCACACTTGGAAAAAAAATCTTAATAAACAATAGTATATTTCAAGGAAAAAAAGTGCTCTCATGTTTGGAATGACAAGGCATAATGTCACACACAACTCCACAGCATACCTGAAATATAACTACAGCTTTGTCACCTGTTACATTCTTGTCCCTGCTTTTCTTGCTTCCAGCTTTTCAGCCTTCTTTCTGCTGCTTTAGGTGTCCCAAAGATCCTCTTTCCACTTGAAAATGTGAAGAACTTAAATGGACTTGCACAGCATGGCTTTGAAAATACATTACGAGCATATAAACTATCTCTGGTTTTGGGTTGTTACTGTTTTTGTTGCAGATCATCTCTGCTTCCTGAATATCACGTAGGCTACTGAGGACTACCCATGCACGTTAGATACTCAGGAAGAACTAAGCTGCTGCTGTTCAGGAAATGGACGAGAACATAACAGTAGCAAAACAGCACAGGAAGATTGTGTGGCAGATTTCGACATTTTTTGAATATAATAAAACTGGTACATGGTCTTAGTTTGTCCAGCCAGCCTCAAACGGGTAGAGATTTCATCCTTCTAATTCCTCTCACGTGCCTGCTATTAAGTATCGCAATAAACAGGCCTCTTCATGAAAACTGTGTCAACATATTGAGACAGAATTCCAGATGGATATCATGTTCAGGTTCATAGCAATTACATGTAAGGCAAATATCTAAAACACAGAAGTTTTTATTCAAAAATCTTAACATGCTTAGCAGTGCCCTGTGCTCCTTGTGCTTTTTTTAGGCAAGACAGAGCTTCAATTAACGTGACCATCTCCTCTTACAATCATCTCTTTTGGTCTCATTCCTAAGAAATCCTTCAAGGAAGCCACAGTGCTTTATCTCTCCCTTTGCTTTTGTCAACAACCTCCCTGACTCATTCTGCCACCTGCTGAAAACTAAGTAGTTAAAAGTGACCAGAAATACAAGTCAGGTGTCACAGGGCAAAGTACAGGCAGTTTTCAAAAAGGAAAAACCTAGGCTATGTTAATTTAAAATGTACCAAATTCTGAATGCCTTTAGTCAGAACTGCTGCTGGCTTGTGGACTTCTCTTTAGTGTGACTTCTGTCATCTCTTAGTCATGCCTGAGTTTACGGGTGACAGCAGTATAAATATGATTGACAGTATCTCAGCATTCACTGATCATGTACATGCAAGAATACATTTTAGTGCTAAAATAAGAGGGTCTAATCTGAAAATGGAATGGGCTCATGGCAGAATTTTGAACTTTACTAGCTCTGCAGAAGTAGAATTCTAGGAATAGAGTTTAAAATGTCAGTAGCTGATTTTGCTGTCAGAAGCAAGAACTCTTCTTTTCTATTTTTTATATACAGGAGTTATTTAAAGAAATAACTTTAAAGTTTATCCCACAATAAATGACTGCTGCCTCTTAAAATTCACCACAATTACATAGAGATATTTTTGCAGGATTTTGGAAGCAGTTTTAAATTTTCTTAGCAGTAGAGTTTTGATTATCTGATATTGCTTTACTGTAGCATTTAACAACAGAAGCAGCATGCAAGTCTCAGGTTTCTGCCTTAAGCAAGTCTCTTGTGAAAATGGAAGAAGAGCTTCAAAACATATATTGCGGGAGAGTATATTTCCAAATCTCACACCTACACAAGAACTTTGCATTAAACTAGATGCAGTCAAAGAACGATTAAATCAGCAGTTAACTTACACAGCAGAGAAAGTAGAAAGCATATGTGAAATCTACTAGAAAAATATGTTGGTGTTAACATTATACTTAAGGGATATAAATGTACTTTGGGATCTAGAATGATCAAAGAAATCCCTATTGATGATTAGTGTTTCAATTTTTTGAATGTTTAATTTGGCCTTCCTCAGGGGCTTGCTCCTCAGAGGGTGGATGCTGTGTATTATTTGAAAAGCTCACTGCTTTGCAAGGTTTTACTATGAATACTTAAAAGTGAGGACTTAAAATTACTGGTTGTTTTCTTGAAAGATGTCTGGATTTTACATCTAGTCACTAAGTAAGCAGAATAGCTGGAGTACTTTTTAGCAAATAAACTTGACATGGACTTTAAAATGCTTGACTGTTTTAGGAAGCATCAATATCTCTTTAATAATCTCTCTTTAATTTCCCTTGAAAATCAATTTCTGTTGACCTTGATTTTTAAAAAAACTACAAAATTTATGTTTGATAGGCAAATTTTTAAATACTCAGCTTGAATAAACTCTGAAAAATTGTTCATACGTACTCAGATTACTCAGATATTTTCAGTATGATTCTATCACTGTCCTGTCCGTTCTCTGCTCCAGCTGAGATAATTTCTTGTTCTTTACAGGCTTCCAGCATTCTCTTTTGACCTTTATGCCTTTTCCATATGCCATGGGTAAAGCTGCTGTTTGACAGTTGGTTATTTGTTCCAGCCAAATGTGTGTGATGTCTTTTATATGGTTGTGGAATCCTCCATGATGCTTTCAATAGGGAAGATTTCCAGCATATGATGTTTGTCTGAAACTTTTGTGAGATCTGATATTACTAAACCTTCCTGGATCGTTCTGTGAGATTACCAGTGAAGGGGCTTGCTGGCACTGTGGAGAGCAGCAATGGTTTCAGGGGAGAAAAATGCAGAAATGCAGTTGGAGAGTTGGAGAAAAGTCTGAAGTCGGGAAACTTTCACTAATTTTTTCATACCTGTCAACCAGTAGTCTTTCATGAGCCGTGTATAACCTTCGGATAGGGTTCTTATTTTACATAGTATTCCAATGCAGAAATCTGCATTACTAGATTGCAGCATATGTCTATTCAGAAGTGGAAATCAAAGCTGATGCTGAGTAATATTGTTCTTTCAGTGTTTCTATTACTGTTTATTTTCCTATAATTTATGCTGTCTACAGTTTTCAGTATTCTTTTGTTCTGAAATACAAAAGTAGAATATCAAAACTGTTTATAGGCAAAGAAACTGATTTTTGATTGACAGTAGAAAATTGGATCTTTCAGACTGAAGATACTTTTAGTTTAGTTTGGTAAAACCAAATCATTTGAGTTTTGCTTTGGAAGTGAAAAATGCTTTTTTCTGCTTTTTCTTCTTTTTTTTTTCCCCCTTTTTTCCTTTTTTTCCCCCCTTTCTTTCCCTTTCTTTCCCTTTTCTTTTTTTTCTTTTTTTTTTTTTTTTCCCTGTTGGCCTATGACCTGAGTTATCTCAGTATCTTCCTGGTTTGAACACACAAATGGTTATCCTCTGAAAATTCTGAAGAATGTGCTGGAGAGGTGGGGTGTTCACTAAGATGTCTCGGTTCATAGATTTACTATGACCTTTGGGTGAGCATTATTGTGCTTAATGTAAACTAGGTTTGAGTAAAATACAGATAAAAGCGCTTGCAGTACCCCAAATGGACTCAGTTAGACATACTAAAATGCATACATGGAAAGATGAAGGAAAAATAGCATCTAGTTTACTTACACCAAGATTAAAACAGGCAGTTTTCTGTGTCTCTGTAGCTGACTCAATACAGATTTTCCTGACTCGCCATCTCTGGGATTTTTTTTTTTTCCTTTTTGTGTAGTTATGTCTCAGGTACGTCCATTGTTCCCTTTTCAGTGGAACATACTAGGGTCTATGGGTATTCTTTTTTAGGTTCCCTCAAGATATATAGATGCTTAATCTTGTTTTGGATTTTATTCATTTTCCCTTTCCCCCCGAATTTATTCTTGATGCTCCCTTAAGTAGAATAAGTGTAATCTCACTCTGCTGGAGATGCAGATACTGGTTTGTTATACCAGGTGTCATTTCCTGCATGCAAATGGTTAATCAGTAGTTTCTTGCCTCAACAAAATGTAGAACTTCCCACTTCTTTAATGATTCTGTCGACAGTCTGTATCCATTGATCCGTATATTTCATAGCATTTCGTCATTTCTATCAAGCACATTTATATTCTGACATATACGTTGGGTGAATTTATAAATCTGACACAGGATTTTGACTGAGGGCAAATATAACACTAATCATCCATCTTGGAGCGAGAGCAAATTTTGGTAATTGATCCCAGACTTCCTTTTTTTTTTTCTTTTAAAAAAAAATGTTATTATAATAGATAGATAAAACTTTCAATTCTTTGTTTAGCTGCAGAGCAAGTGTGAGTCATCCCATTCTGAAATAGAGCTGCTGAGAAAACAACTGGGAGATGAAAGAGCATCTATGAAAAACCTGGAATCTTTGCTTGTGTCCAGTCGTGAGAAAGAATTTCAGTCACAGATAGCAAAGCAAGAAAAAGACTCTGAAATTCAGTTTCTTAAGGAACAGCTTTCTTTAGCAGAAAATAAACTGTGAGTAAATGACCAGGAGACTATCACAGGTTTTTTCATTTTTCCCAAGTGTATATACACACAGATGGTTTTATATCTAGCTGCATTTTCAAATGGCCAATGTACCTTGGTTACTTCAACGGTAGAAGATACCAAAACCCTGCTTCTGATTCCTCAGCTATAACCCTAATAGACTTTTCTGTGTAGTGTTATATTTTACTCCAAAAAACGTTCTTAATCTCAATTGCATGGTATAGCTGCCCTTTTAATTTTGGATAATTATATTTGGTAACATACTTGGAGGATTATAGTTACTATCTAATTAAAGCGTATGGACTTTACAGTGCTGTGCAGAGTCAAGATTTTACTCAGCTCAGAAACAGAGCAGCTCAGCTAGAGTCGGAACTGGATATCACCAAAAGCCAGCTGGGGACTGAGCGCTTTGAAAGGCAAGTATATGTTTTTGTATTGTGCTTCCTGCATCTAATTGGGGTGAAACACAATATAGTACTAAGACTTAGACTTAGACTTAGACTTAGACTTAGACTTAGACTTAGACTTAGACTTAGACTTAGACTTATCAGTAGGATAAACAGCAAAGCTTGGTTTTGCTCTGCTGTACATCTCCTGTGTGTTCGGAGGCTATTCATGTCACTGAATTCAGTCTGTGTAGCCGTTATACGTGCTGTCTAAATTAGTTGTCTAGGTTCCTTTTATAGGCAGTGGAACGAGACAGTGAGATAAACTGCCCTTTAGAATTGCCTGTTTTAGGATGGGATGGGTCACTTTCGGGAAGATGCTCGTCTGTCTTCACTTAGTGATGCTTGATCTATAGTGAGAGTCTAGGTGAGTAGTTGGCTAGACAAGTGATTTATAGACTAGTAGTTGTGCGCTATGAATGGCTACCTTTTGGCTACACCTGTACTAGTGAACTAAACCAGGTCAGAGCATTGACTTGAGAGGTCTACACAACTGTATACTTGTCCATACAGTTTAATTGTTAGTACACACACTGGAATGATTTTAGCCTATACCAACCCGCCTTCTCCCAGGTACTGCTTGGGCCACAGAAGGTACTAGGGATGGTTCCCAAATGGCAGTGTGGCCAAAGTAATTTTTTTGGGGGGTGGGGGTGGAGGGAGGGGGAAAGGAGTTTAACGATATGTACAAGCTGTTTCATATGGTTTGGCCACAGTACCAGAGAGCAGTCCCTGGCCTGCTTCATGAGTTAGTTTATCTACATAGTCTTGGTGTCTTAAATAGTTTTCTTATCTGTGAAACAACAGTACTTGTCTATTTCATGGATGTATTGAGGATAAAATATTACAGAGTTGGGCATTATTTTCGGTATGTAAAACAGATGGCTAAAAGAAGCTGAGTGATGTGATTACAGCACAGGTTTGAGAATCAGGTGTCTTGTTTAATTGTAGTAAATTACTTTGTTGATACTCCATTCTCTCATAAGTAAGGATGAGGGTTTTGGAGGGGGCATCTCTATACCTGAGGTTAGGTCTTTTAAAGATGGATTTCTTATCTTAAATGTCTCAGTGTATGTTTCAATTGCAAATTTGATTCTCCTTTACCCTGAAGTCATGGCAAAAACTGCAAAAATTTCGGGTTAGATGTGCAAGTCAGTTTAAAAGGTGGCATCATTTGTGCTTCTTCAGCTGCATAGAATATCCACCAGCTCCAGGGCACTTTAGGTAGACTCTAGTCCACTGGCCTTGCCAACTCAAACAGTACAAGAATACCGCAAGCAGCACTGTTCTTACATTGCTGATTTTAGTGATCGGCCTTATGTTGCAGACTTGTGAATAACCTTAAAATTAAGCTCTTCCTGCCTGGCAATTTTTACAATTTTTAGAGTTTAACCTGCAGCAACCATGGCTAGCTTCTGTCTTTCAGGGAAAATAGAGACAAGGGATATGTAGAACTAAATCTGAGTAAAGGAGTAATACAGAGAGAGTCACTAATCTCTCTTTCAGAGAAGTATATGATGAATACCACATCTCCTTTTAAAATAAAACAAAATTAAAAAGCTGACAATCTTAAATAGGAAAAAAAAAAGATGATAATGACGATGAGATCATTTTGATGATTTTAGAAAAGCGTTTAGTCTGACTCTAAAATAATGTTTATTTAGGGAACGTGCTGTACAGGAGCTTCAACGCCAGAATCATACAATCTTGTATCAGTTAAGCCCTATGTTAAGAACATCATCACCTGAACATTCCCATCATCGATCTCCTCATTGGTCTCTGGACTGGTCCCTGGAAGAGTAAGTGGGGGGGATAAAACGCTGCGGGGGGGATAAAAATAAAGGGATGAACTCTAATGTTTCTTGTTGAAATATTGGCCGAATTCCATGGAATTACATTGCTCCAAGAAAAGTTACAAGAAGATTCAGGACCACAATCTTTTGATGATACTTCTTTTATTTTGTTTTATTGAGTTGTATCAAAACTATATGGTTAATAGCAACTACTTGCACCGGGATGCTACAGTCATAAATTCTTAAAACAGTAATAGAAATAATGCTACAGAAAGTCTCTACTTGATTTGCCACCGTATTGTGCAGGTGTAGATGTAAATATTTTCATCTTTCTTACATAAAAGCTCACAACTATCCAGCCTTTCTTCTTCTAGTAGTTTTCAGAATAGTTTTTACTCTGTATATGCGCATTTTTTACAAGAAACATAAATGCATTCTAAAAGTCTTCAAACACTTGTAACCCTGAGGAAGAGCAAGCCCAGCTGTCCTTTCAACAATCAGGGAAATGGAGCCTCCACAATATACAGCTACTCCCCTGTCAGTTTCGGTCTCAGCTTAGTTTCATATTTGGTAGGTGCATGCTTGTTGTGTCACACTTTTTTGGTAGATTGATGGCAGCATGCATTAAAAAAAATTGCCAGTTGAGGGGGGGAAAAATTCTCAATTAATGACTTGGAATAGTTTCTGCTTTTGAGACGGTTATGTACTTCCAAGATGAATTTTGTTAATACTTTGATAACTGAGATTATTACCTTTGGCACTTGATTAATCTTTGTTACCAAAGGCTCCTCTAAGTACATAGGTCCTAAGAATAGGAGACAAGTTTCCTCAGGTCAGTGAGCTGGTGCTGGTGCCCTTAGTAGGAAAACACAGCTGTGCAAGATAGTGATTTTGTAGCTATTGGCAGTCCTTGATAGCAAGTGCGGGGAGTTTTCATTCCTCTGATAGAACTGCGTCCACTCCTTCTTAGCCTGAGTACAGCGTAGCTCTTAAATTTGTTGAAAAATGCATTGTATCATTTGGAATGGTTTCATTTATTTTTAATTACCATAACACTCTTCTATTTTTGATACTGTATAAACAAAAGGGATCAATCCATGTAGTCACCACACTGATACTAACAATTATGGTGCTTTTTCTATTTGTATCACCCCCTTTTCAGGGTGATAGCATTCCTTTCTAATTAGTAAACTTCTGGCTAAATACCAAATCAAGACTAATCTTCTACAAACTAGATTATGAATTTAACTCCTTTCTTGTTTGCTTTTTGGGTTTTGTGGGGTTTGTTTGTTTGTTTGTTTGTTTTTTCTCCTGGCTGGCCTGATGTGGCATGATTTTCTTTTGCACATTCCTGAGTTTACGTATGTCTAAAAATGAAACATGTGAGCTAGGTATAAATACTTTGTTTCCTTAAAATCTTCAGCTGGATTAAGCTAAATCTTTCTCAATTAAATCAGTGTAGCTTTTGAGTGCAAATTAACTCAATTTTTTTCTGCTTAATTACTTTCCATTTTTGAGTGCTCAAGATACTGATACAATTCATAACTTTTTTCCTCATCCAGCTCTTTGTTATACTTTCTTGGCTAAGTGGGAAGAACTAGGGTTGCTCCAGACTTACTTAATTTGTTATTTATACTAAATGGTTTTCATTAAATAATAAAATATACTAAATTTTGTTTTCATTAAAAAAACCTATGCAATAAAAACTGAAACTTTGGCAGTCCGTGCTGTGTTTTTAAAAGCTTAACTGGAAAGAATTTGTCAGGTTTGTGTAGTGTGGTGATACAGCGATGAATAAAATAGCCTGTTTGGTAAGGTTGTCCTGAGATAGAGCAAAGATCTGCATCTGGATCTGTCTGCTTTGTTTAAGAGATTTACATTTGATTTACCGATGTCTAGGTGAGTGCTCTAATGTCCAGAATGCTAAAGTTCTTGATAAATTTTATGTCAAGAACTTTGAGTCTGTATCAAGAAAAAGATGGAATAGTAGAAATGTCTGAAATATTTATGGATGATGAAATAATTTCCCTCCCCGCTAACTCTAGAAAGATTCAGAAAAATTCATTGAGATCATAATGAAAGAAACACCAATGTAAAGTATGGCTTGACAGAGAGTAAAAACAAAAATATTAATGCAAATATTTGGGTGTAATCATCAGCAGAATCACAGAATTAAGACTTTTAAAATAGGTATGTGGGGAATTGATGAAACACAATCTAGGTGTACGTTCCTGTTGGATTTAAAGCAGAATGCTACTAGAAATAATCCTCCGGGAGGTGAATTTTCATTTTTCAATTGCTTGAAGATAACTTACAAGCGATTGAAAAAGATACTGTAGAAACAACTATTCCTTGGTAGAGAGGCTTCTTCCACAGCTAATGTCCGACTGCAGTACATGAAGTATAACGAGATAGCAGTGCTGGAATCACCATTAATACCCTTCCTCCTGTTCAGTGCTATTTTAGCAGACAGACTGTGATGGGAGATGAGGCAGACAGTCACCTTTTTATTTAATTGAGAACGTGATATCAGAAGTCAATTGGACAGTAACTTTTTCTTATTCTTCCATCTTCCTCTCTGTCTTTATTGCACCAGACTCCTTGTTTCAGTAAAGTGAAAAGGATGCGCCTTGTAGTTTGTCTTGCAGACCTAGCGGGAAAGACATTTTCTGTCTGATTTTCTTAAGTGATATGAGTCCAAAGCTTGCCTTTCACTTCAAAGAGCATTATAGCACTTTTGTACAATAAAATCTAATCCTTCAAATGATCTGGATTGACTTGAAGAGACTGGGAAGCCTGCTCAAAGTGCTTTCAGAGTCAAAACCTTAAAATTTTGCCCATGGAAACATCAGAACGCATTGCTGTATTCACTGAACGTGAAACAGATTTCTTTTTCTTTTTCTTTCTATGAATTCTTGTTTCAAGGACTTACAATATTATATTCACGATGGCTTGTGAAGACTCTGCACACCATCTACAGAGAGTTCAAGTTTAATGATCATTTAATTATAATTTTTCCCTGCTGAATGCTAAATTTCATTAAATCTATTTCACAAATGCTTACACAGGTTTTTCATCACTCTCAATGTTGTGCAGTGGGAAGAAATCAGTCCAGATAGCTTCCTCTCCCACCCGTCTCCCAGCTCTTGTGTGGGAGATGGCCCACCTCAGTAAACAGAAAAACACCACAAGTTCCATTGACTTTACTGACAGTGTGCTTTTATATTAAAAGTGTGCATTATTTTAAAAGGCTATCGATATAACTGAAAAAAGGGAAAGAAAATAACAATGTGAAACTTTATTAGGGGAAAGTGTCTATGTTCAGGTGTTATGATTTGGATGTATTGTTGCTGAACTATGTCAGTATTATGCTTGAGAGAATGCTGTGCCATCCCAAGATAGGAAGAGCTTGGGGTTTTTTTTCCCCCCCTTCAAAACTGACTGACTTATTAATTTGGATAAGATAAGATAGTAATGCCAGCAGATACCAGTGTTTCGATATCCATCTATGAACGTATGTATTTTTTTTTATGTTTCCATACACACTGGAGGTGTGTTCCAACTTCTAAGAATTTCATTAAAACTGCATGAAGTTTCTACTTAGAGTTCTTGAATATGAGTGAGTACTGTTTGGTGATAGTTATTGGCACTTAAACTTGCTCAGAATTTCTGCACTTTATGTCATAACATTTGTCTACGTTCTATATTCTCACACTTTAAATGCAAGAGAAAATGTAAAATTCTCTCCTGTAAATCATCTGGGAAATCTGTACTTCTGCATTTGGAAATAGAGAAGTAATTCCTGTTTAATTCATTTAAATTATCCATTTTTTTAATAGATTCATCCTTCTTGCTATCTTCATAAAAGAATTTTTAAAAAGGTCTCCAGTTTATTTTTGAAAGCAAAGGCATGTTGGTCATGGTAATGGTTTAAACGTACATCTTGCATATATGTTCCTTCATATGAATTTGGTTTGTGATAACCTGACTACTAAATATTAACATTCATATTTGAGTAATGATTAAAGGGAGCATAACCCATATGAATGCTCCTGCCTTTTAAAACCTGTTGATATGAGCTGTAGATATGATTCTAAGTTACTTTTTAGGAACAGGTAAAAAAAGCTTGTAAAAGTATTTTTTAGATGAATAATGTAAAAAAAAAAAAAAATATATATATATATACCTGTAGCATAAATTCTAGGATTATCTTCCATAAGAGCAGCAATATTTTTCAGTGCAGGTGACTTGATTTTAATTTGTAGGTCCTGATTCTTCATTCTTTATTTGGGGGACAGCCACAGAAGTCATTTCAGCAATCACCAGTGTTAATGGGAATACTTGCAAGTAATAAAGACTTGCAAGTAATAATGATATTAACCATTTCGACATTGTGCCGTTATTAAAAGGCGTATTGTATACTTTTCCCAGATGAGAGAAGGTGATCATCTCATCATCCCAGGAGATGAAAGTGGTTTGTTGTTTTGCAATCATATTGCCATATTGATTTTTTTAGAAGATGATAACAAAAAAAGTTTGAGAAATGTGATTTTAGTCTATAAAACTAATACCCTATCATTTAGAAAACGAGAAGGAGAGATTAGATAAACATAAAGCAGATGAAACTGAGTTTTGGGGAGTGGATATACTGTGCAGAGGCCCATGTCCTAAGATGTAATTCCTTAGTTGCAATAATGATAGCTTTTCCATATATATCATCAGGTCATGGATGCGGCTAAAGGAATTTTTTTCAGTGGTGATGGGATATAGACTTCAAGTGACTTCTGACAGCAATTAATTGCTATGCAATTATTGATGGTTAAAAAGAAAAAAAAATCATTCAAGTGAGTATATTCAGAGAGCATTATCACTGTAGTGGCAACCGCCCTACATCTGACCTAACACAAAGTCAAAAACTGAAAGAAAGAAAAAAATGAAAGAATTAATTGAATTTGCTGAAGTTTGCAAACAGTACCTTTTAGTTTGACAAAAAAAGCTGCTTGTTG